CTCTGGTGTCTGTCAGCAAACATAAACAAAAAGCATGCTTCAGAACTGTTTTGAGAAGGTGCTTAAGTTTTGAGCCATGTATTATTACTCTGAATTAGGCTACTACTACTATTACTATCTTGTACCCTGCAATAATCATTTACTGAAACTCACTTTTATGAGATGAAGGGGAAAAAAAAAAGAAAATCGGCCAAAAAAATCGGCATCATATATCGGCCATCGGCTGCCCTGATTTCTAAATATCGGCATCGGCCAGTGAAAAACCCCTATCGATCGACCTCTAATCAAGTACATTTTTTTCTCTTGTAAAATTTTATTTTACTTAAAAGTATGTCATCACTTTGACTTTTAAAATGATAAAATCATGTTTAAAAATATTTAATAAGTAACATTTTATGGGTAAGATTTTTTTTGTTTTTGAAAGAAGTCTCTTATGCTCAAAAATACAGTAAAAATGTGAAATATTATTACAATTTAAAATAACTGTTTTATATATATAAATATATTTAAAAATGTAATTTATTCCAGTAATGCGAAGATAAATTTTCAGCAGCCATTATTCCAGTCTTCAGTGTCACATGGTCCATCAGACGTCATTGTAATTTTTTATTATTATGAATGTTGTCTTTTTTTTGTGGAAAAAAATTATATTGTTTACATTTTTCAGGATTCTTTGATGAACATAAAATACAAAAGAACAGCATTTATTTGAATTTGTATCATCATAAATGTCTTTAACGTAACTTTTGATCAATTTAATGCATCTTGCTGAATAAAATTATTAATTTCTTTAAAAAAAAATCATGTTGACCCCAAACTTTTCAACAGCAGTGTAGAAAGTGAGATTTCTACTGTAAGGCTTTCTAGATGTGCTCCTTCTCACATATCCTACATAGACTCATATAGTTGTTCGCTGCACATTAAATCACAAATGTCTGTGACAGTCTGATTGCATTAGAGGAATTCTGCGGTGAGTTGCTGGATAATTTTACGGCCCGAGGGTTTTAAATTACCCACTGATTCATCTCTGTCTAATAATATGAAGCATTAATTAATTTTTCCCCTACTGTTTTATAATGGATTAATTTGCATTGAGTCTAGTGTGTAATTGATTGTGACACACACACACACACACAGAGCTGGCGCGGCGGTTGTCGTGCTGGTCATGTGACGCAGTACACGCAGCGAGCACATGACGCTCTCATAACCACGTGTGGATAAAGACACACACACATTATACTCACGCCCTAGAGTGTGAAAATCTGTGAGAGATGCTCATTATCCACTTCCACTCATCCCTATATTCTCTCTCTTTTTCTCTCCTAAATGAAAGTGTGGAGTGGCGAAGCATCTGTCTACACCAAACTGTCAGGGTGAATGTGATAATTGTTTCTTTTCCTGCCTGATCTATTTTTGTGATCTCTTACTCATTTATACGCATACACACACACGCATTCACACCAGCTTTCTCGTGCAGCACACTGTTTTTATTTAAAGATGAGCTCATATTCTCACCCGCTGCATGCGGCGCTTTCATGCTGACCTCATCGTCCATCATAACGCTGTAGCCGCAGGTAAAACCTGCGCCGTCCGGAGAGAGACATGGCAGACTTGTTAATAAGCAGCTGAATTTTTTAAAAACTTTTTTGTATATGCATAAACTTAACCTGAATTGACTTCTTTCGTATCTTTGTAACTCCATCAGGATTTTGCATTGCAAAGTGAGTCTTCGGTGCGATTCAGACCAGACTCAATTCAGTCAGATTTAACAATTGATTTACTGATTCTTTTAAGGATATGTGTGTTTATTTTTGTGCACAGCCAGCGAGGACAGTGCAAAAGCAATGCAACGCCATTCAGCTGAATTATAGATGCATTTTTGAGTTAGCGCTACAGATTCATCAGTAACACAGTGCAGGAAACACTGACTTAATCAAACGCTGATGATGTGAAGAATATATTATATATTTAGTGTGTATAAATAATTTTTACTTAGTGTCATCAACTTCCTGCTAGAGATGAAGTGATCTGCATTCATTAATTAATATGTAAATAAATATGTCTTCATTTTGGGTGTCAGTTTGCAGAACAGCGCAGGAATGAGAACAAAAGTAGTAGAAAATTTTCTGATGGATGGATAGATATATAAATTGATGGATGGATGTATAAATAGATGGAATGGTGAATAGATTTATAAATGGACAGATGGATGAATATATTAATTGATTGATGGATTAATGGATGGTCGGATGGATGGATGTTTAAATGGATGGATGATAGACGGGTGGACAGATGGATGAATAGATGTATAGATGGGTGGATAGATAGGATGGATGATAGATGTCTAAATGGATGATGGGTATTTAAAAATGGATAGATAGATGTATAGAGGAATAGATGTATGGATGGTTGGGTGTATAGATATATAGATAGATAGATAGATAGATAGATAGATTATTCATATTTTGCTGAAAGAAAAGAACTGACTCTCTTGTAAAACTCCAGAAAGTGCATCTCATGGACAGAAATGTGCTGTAAAGGTCCTTGCACACTGAGTCTGACGCATATTAATTAATCCGTTGCAAAATAATTTGCAAAACAATACAGTAGTCTTCAAGCAGTGAGGATGATTTTGCTGTGCTCTCTCTTCTTAAAAAGAGAAAAAGATAGAAGAAATATTAGGTTCATCCAATCCTGAGATTGCGTAGAGAGGAAGGAGAGTTCCACCTTTTTATCAAGGAGCTGCAGGATTATCAAAACACCTCTCAAAATACTTGCTACAGATGCAAAAAACGCAGAAAATCGAACCTGATCCAAATTTTTTTATGACGGACGAAAGTTTTGGAGGCAGTGTAAACGTGACTGACGCAACGTGAGGTCATATCTATTTTTTAACGTGTGAAAATTTCAGACTCTGTGTGCAATGACCTCAAGTCTTAAAGGCGGTGAGCGCTTAATGACACGTATCTTGCTGTTGCAGCGGGATTTGAGGAGCCGGGCGTCCTGGAGCAGGTGGATCTGACCCCCACCCTCGCACTGGGTCTGGGGTTACCCATCTCCAAGAACAGTGTGGGCCATTTGATTTCAGCTGTGTTTGAGGAGTTATCACTCAGAGAACAGCTGCGCCTCCTCCAGATCAACGGACACCAGCTCAGCCGCCTCCTACAGGACAGCAATCCCACCTTCCACAAGGGTGAGTTCACACGTGCAGTACAAAACTAATGCATACAACAGCATTCCCACAGAGCCATGATCAGTCCACAAACCATCTGATGCAGTTTCAAACACATAGCAATTTGATTAGCTTCCCGGTGTCGAATAAGTGATTGGGCTCTTTGTATGTCAGGAAAATTATATAAGAGGCAACTTATTGGCCATAATAATAACTGCATGTCCCAAGCCAGAAGGTCCCAAGATGAGATGAATAGCAGTCCAGTCACTAGGGGTGGGAATCGCAGGGTACCTCACGATACGATACGAATCACGATACATGGCTCACGATACGATAATATCGCGATACAGCGATTCTGCGATAATCGATATATTGCTAGACAATTCTATAATGATACATCACGATATCTGTCTAACTATGAAAA